GGGGGGAGGGGGGGGAGGGCAGCCCTCTGCGGGCCTGCTTTCCCCGCAGGTGGCCGTTGACTCTTTACTTGGATTTTCTCAGACACGCGCATCTCAGCGCCTTGCTAGAGGGCGCGGGCAGGGGAGCGTCTACACTTGGAACCGCGCTGGATCCGCCAGCGTTTCATTCACAAAACGCTTACTGACTCTCACTCGCTCTCGGTCTCAGTGTGTGGAGCGTTAAGCTAACCCCCAGCGTACCATCAGGGTCTGTTAAATCCAACTTTGGTTCTGGAGTTTCCTCGTCGAGTTGTTTAATCTGTTTACAAGGCGAGGTATCTCATGGCTTTTATTATTTTGTGAAGTGTTTCCAAAGAATGAAGAGAAAACTTCCTTATATTTTCAATAAAATAAACCCCATTCTGTTTTGCGTTTACCAGATGGGTTCATTGGGCCCTTCGATGGCGGGATCTTTGTGATCTCAGCTGTCCTAGCTTGTGAAATATTTTGCTGCCGGGTCACCCTGGGGAATGTTTTTCTTTATTACTCATCAGTTGTGCCCAATTATGCTAAGGGACTGAGATGATAATGCAGAAAAACAGACTTGCCCCGAAGAAAGATTCAACAGCGAGATAAGTCATCACCATTTTGAGTCTGTTTTTAGCCCATTGCGCACAGTTGACAATTCAAAATTTCATAATGGCACAGAGAACAAACTGACAGAGACCAGCACTTCGCAATTATTAGGTGACTCATCAGAGGAATTCAAAGAGGAGCACCGCTCCCCAGACTCTGACGGAGATGGCAAAGCGGATCGAATACGCAAAATCTCAGACAGAGTCTCCAGGCCATAGCGTCCTGGGTGAGTTATCTTAAGCTCAAGAGTCCGTGAGTAAACAATTCACAAGGACAAAACCTATGGTACTTTCATTGAGTCAGTCACTCAGCAGGAAGGGCTTCATCACACACATTGCGCAGCCAGACTCTGGACGTCCTGCTCTGCTGAAAAGACGTGTGACGGCCCTGCCTGGGTGGCTCAGTTGGTTGAGTGTCGTCCCAAACACTAAAAGGTTGTGGGTTCGGTTCCTGGTCAGGGCACATGCTGTACCTAGATTTTGGGTTCAATCACTAGTTGGGGTGCATACAGGAGGCAAATGATTGATGTTTCTCTCTCTCAAATCAATAAAAACATATCCCCAGGTGAGGATTACAAATAAGTAAATAATTAAATCAGTAAAATGCCTTTAAAAAAAGTTTTCTTAGACCAGGTAAAAATTTTAAAAAATTAGGAAAATAATTGATAAATTATTAGTAACAAACATGTTTGCTTGTAAAATAGGCTTAAATGAAGTTAAGGCAAAAGTGATAAACAAGGGGAGACTATTTTTAATGTGTCACCACAAAAAGCCCCATAAAATCTACAGTACAATTACAAAATAAAACTCATTCAGGAAAATCAATAAGAAAAAGGCAAATGGTCCAATAAAATAATAGAGGGAAATAAATGTGTCTTTCACAGAAGAAAAAATGCAAATAGCTTTAAATATAGAAAAAAAAATGCTCAACTTCAGTAGTAACTATGAAAATGTTAACTAAAAAGAAATGTATTTTCTCCCTCACTTAAGCTGGTGACAGTTTAACAGACTGACAGCACTGTTTTGTGGGCAATAGGAGAAAACACACTTCTATATTTTGGAGTGCTTTGGCTGTGTAAATTGCTATGAGGTTTGGGGAGCTTAATTTGGCAAGTACTCATTAAAATTAAAGATCCATATGCACCTCAAAGCAACAATTCTATATCCTGTACTTGTATAAAGAGACTTGCACAGCGACATTCTCTGCAGTGTTGTTTCTAACATCAACCACCGAAAAGTCTTAAATATCCATCATAATGGGAGCCACTGATTGTCCACCCTGCCCTCCAATGGGCAGTGGAGAGCCCAGGGGCTGGGTGGACACTGGGAGCAGCCTGCCCCAGCGGGGGACAGTCCTCCATCACTAGCATTGCTCAGCATTTCCCCTGCATGGTGCAGAGTGATAATAGAGAGACTTACTTTTGTTGGATTTATTTTTGTTTAAAAGTCTCTACAGGCAATGCACCCTCATTGCTTGCACCCTGGATGGCCGACTCCCATTCCCACACTCCTGGGGACTACGCAATGCAATCTTTTGCAGGTACTATGTGTAGTTCTGTGCGTGCTGACATCTCTATAACTTAGTGTTAAGGGAAAGGGGCAGAAGAATATTGAGGGAAAGATGCTGGTTTTGCTAAAACTCATACATTTCCAGAACTATATTTCTAAATGCACTATATGTGTATAAGTGCATGAATACAACCGTAGTCATTTGGGAGGAGATAACCGGGATTTAGGGTTGTGGTCAAAGGGGACTATATTTGTGTTTTGAAATTTATAAATTTAAAAGTATGCAGTTAAAGAGATAAACATATTTTTTCTTTTGAGAACTGCTCTAGTAAACTAAATAGAAGGGTTTTGAAGTCCCTGGAAGTGCAACGCCATCGCCACCTAGTGGAGAGGAGAGGACACTGCCGGGGGGTGGACACAACGCTGGTCCCAGCATCTTTCTCCTGGTCCTTGCCTTCTCTTTATTGATGTCTTGCAAAGACTAACACCCGAAGATAACTCTCAAGCCACTTCAGAATAAGTAGAAAGCTTCATGCACCTACTTACGGTGCATATATGGCATTTTACACCTGCAAGGGTGCAGATGGCCCTCAAGAATATCCCTGAGGGAAGTTACTCAGAGTCTCTGGAAAGCGGTCTGCACTTGAGCTAGATAGCAATGACTCACTGTTGCGCAGAACTTTATATTTCTACTCTGTCGTCACAACAATCCCAGGAGGCCAATCTGTAATGATCTTGTTTTACAGAGGAGAAAATGAAAGCTTGGACCAAATGAAGGACCTTTTCTAGGCACTATATTAGAAGGTCAGGTGGGACTGACAGCAAATTCTGTGACCTGAGGACCTTTGAGCCTACAGCTATCTTCTCAGGGGTCCCAGGATCAGGGATCTGGCTGACATATTCATAGAAGGCCATTGCAGTAGATGCTGGTGACGTCCCCAGCCTGTATCCCCTGGATCTACATGAGTGGCCCGCAGCTGTGAGGGATCGTTTTTGGCCCACTCTTAGCTTCCTACCTCAGACCTGGCTCTGTCTCTTCTCCATCTGAGGGATTTCTCAGGCACCATCCACGCAAACCCAGCTGTGCACAGATAGAGCCCATGCCCAACCTGGGTGGGACCACTCTCTACCGATGGGAGATGGGAGACTGTGGTAACCGCTCCCTGTCTTCCAGTGAGACAACTCTGAGCTGTGATCCACGTGGTTTCTCAGAGAGTCCCTGGTGGGATGGACCCCGAGTGCCCACAGCATGCCTTAGTCGGCCTTCCTTTCCTGGCTCACTCGTGGGCTTGCTGGGATCTCCTCCCACATAAACGTACACCCAAATCCTTGACTCAGGACCTGCTTCTGGTGGAACCCAAACTAGGAATGCAGGGCCTGGTGGCTGGGTACCACCAAGATGCGGTGACACTCAGGAAGTGGGTGTGGCTTCTCCAGGAGTGTAAAAAGTCAAGCGGACAGTGATGCAAGTGAGCGGTGGTGATGTCTACAGCTTCCTCACCACTCTCAGCTGCAAGTACTGCCACCCGTCGCTTATACAAGGTCCTCTCCTGGCTACAGGCGTCATTTTTGAGTTTAGAAAAGATGGCTATGGGAAGGCTAGCATGGGCCCCACAGAGTCAGGTGAGAGGCAAGGGCAAGGATAGGGCATGGTCACAGGCATAGAGCGGGGACGAGCAGCATGTAGTTGGAGAATATGGAATTAAACTGTTATCAGAGAACCCTAAAGATTCCACCGAAAACCGCTAGAACTGATGAGTGAATTCAGTCAAGTAGCAGGATTCGAGGGACACATCCAGAAACCGGCTGCATTGTGTGTGTGTGTGTTTGCGCAGGTGCAATTTTCTAGGAAGAAAATTTCTAGAGCTTTGATTGTACTCCTAAAGGGGGTTCATGAACTAAACCATGTGGGCAGAGCCACCGAGAATTCTGAGAAGGGGTGCGACACGGACCAAGAATCACAGAATGTCAGGAAATTGTGCCCCAAATGACCTTATTGAAGTAACATTGACTGAGCCCGGTGCTGTGTCTAGGACAGAGCTCAGCTCTTTATAAACATTATCAGGTTCACTCATCCCAACCTTCCTTAGATGTGGGTTCTAATACTATCTCCATTTGACAGGTGAGGAAGCTGAGACCTAGAGGGTGCCTTGCCCAGGTCACACAGCTGGGTATGAACCAGGAAGGCTGACTCTAAACACTAGTCCCTCAGCCCTAATCGGTGGCCGTCACGCCTGGATGCACAGTAGCATTATCAGGAGAGCTCGTTACAGCAGAGATGGCTGGGCCCCATCCCCACAGTGTTTGATTCAGCACGTCTGGGGTGAGGCCTGAGAATCTGTATGTCCAACAAGTTCCCCGGTGGTGTGGATGCTGCCAGCCTGGGGCCAGACTTTGCAAAGCTCCTCTGACCTCTAAGCTCTCATCTCTGAGAGGGGGAGTTGATGTGACCTGTCTAGGTCACTCAGCTCCTTAGCAGCAAAAACTATGATGAGAATCTGGGCCTGTGAATTCTTAACCCAGGACTCTCTATGCTGCTCGTGCTTGGAGGAGGGCACATCCTTCCGGGGAGCGCGTGTGCGCACTTGCACGCACCTGTTTCATTACCTGGTGTGTGTTCAGCTCCTGGGAATGGGCGTTGGGGGAAGACAGCTCCTTGCTTGGCTCCTCTGAGCCCACTCGGGCCCTCCGCCACCTCCTGGCCCGCCGGTCTGCAGCGTGGGGGGCCTCCTCAGGCTCGCTGCTGTCCGAGGTCTCCCTGCTGGCTGCCTGGGGATTGAAGTTCACGTCCAGTTCTCCCTGAAGGTGCATCTTTTCAGCCGCGGGGTTCCTGGGGGCCTTTCTCTGCAGCCAGGACAGTCTGGCCCGCCGCCCGGCCTCCCGGGAAGAGCCTGTGGAGGAGGTCTCCGAGTCAGAGCATGTGGCCTCGAGGTGGGGGGAAAGCCGGGAGGCAGAGGAGGCAGCGGAGGGGACTTGGTCCAAGCCTCGGGCCTGCGCGGGCTGAAGCTGGGGGTTCCTGGGCAGGTCCTGGGACCGTGGGCACAGTGTGCTCAGGGCCTCACTCCAGTCAAAGTCCTCCTCGCTGTCGGAGACCAGCTCATCATAGGCAGATGCCACGCTGGAGGCAGCCTCCAGGGCCTGGAAGGTGCCACTCTTGGGTGTGGCCAGCAGGCGGGTGGGGGGCAGAGCGCCATCCTTCAGGGCCACCCAGTTCCCATCGGGGCTCTGCAAGACTGGGGCCAAGTCTACAGGTGGGAGGGAGAGAAACCAGAGAGGGCTGTTGTCAGCTTAGAGCAAGGCAAGGCTGCCATCCGCCACGTCCCCAGGACTGCCCTGGGGTCTCGGGGAGCAGCCAACTCTAGGAAGTCCACAAGGGCACACCTAATTGGGGGCAGGTTTAAAGGTCCCCAGGAAATCCCTTGAGGCCTCACAGGGCCCCAGTGCTTCACAGATGAAGAGAAACTCGGAGATCTGACTCCTATTGAGCGCCCACCTGGGTCACCTCCATCTCCTGAGAGGGGCCCCGCTCCTGCCCAGGGCTGGCTTGGATGTAGAAGGGGAGTGGAGACAGCTGCTCTTGGCAGCCTCAGGCTCCGGCTGTTTGATTTTGGGCCATGGTTTTGTCTCTCAGATCCCCATTTTTCCCTCACTGGATGGGAGACGACTCCATCACCCGCCCTGGCCCACCTCACAGGTTAACACACCTTGTCCTTGTCCTCGGCACTTTTACAGACCTCACTCACGACAGCCGTGAGATGGGGTGTGCGGTAAGATATAGATGTATAAGAGCGCACACACACACACACACACACACACACACACACACACACACACACACACACAC